ATTTAACAGCAGCTGATGATATATATAAAGTCAACTTTGACTAGATAACGAACAGAATTGAACAAATATCACTTTTGCAGAATCCTGCAAAACTGAAAAGTGCCCTTTCTACTCTATTTACCAACGATTGAAGTTGTGAAATTCCTAAGAATAGCGAACAGACGCATTTTTTACAATCTATTTATGATTACAAGTCCGCTGCCCAATCATAGATTTTAAACGCGTTTTGGTTTTACAGGACTCAAAAGAAAATGATATTTGTTCAATTCTGTTCGTTATCCATCCAAGCTTCCTACAAAGAAACAACGAAAAATAAACGCTATACTTCTTAACTTCGTATGTTTGTATGTCAGACCGCGACATCGTTTGATCTTCACAGATGTTCAAGTATTCCATGTTTCCTCGATCTTTATTATTGAACAAAAGATATTTCGTATCCCAGTTAGTACGTTTAACGAAATAAAGGAACATTTTAGTAAATGTTGATTCAGAAAATCAAGGTGCAAAGAATTTCGATATTTTTAAGCAACAAAAGATATTAATCCAGGTGATGAATTCTCTTGAAAGTAGTATATTACACAGCCACTTAAAATGGTAGTAATATTTGTATTTTTTATTATTGTAAATACATTCATTTTTGTGCATATGACGCATCTATAAAAGTTTTTGCTCTTTATGTGAAAATATTTGGTTGGTAGAGGGATATCCATATCGCGATATCGTAAAGTGTCATAGACCACTCAGGATATAGAAAACACAGAATTTCATAGTTAAAATAGTTAATGGAAAAAATTGAAGCTACCATTGAAAAGAATAGAAAAGTTGCATAGAATTTTATATTTATACCATGAAAGTGTATCCGTACGCTAACAAGATATTTCGAAAGCAAAAGGACTTAACGCATCCGTTTGAATGTTATATCCCTATTCCAATATATACTGTATATGTAATTTTATAATATTATTGATTAGAATGCATTTTGCTATACTTTATTCTGGCCTAATCACTTCTTCATACAGTAACCGGGTATTATTTTGGAAGGAGTTGATCAGCAGCACAAGAGCCACATTTTGTTGAGTTTCTTATTCTCTGTCGAATGTGTTACGGCTCCATTAAAGCAACTGAAACAGAATCTTTCAACCCCAAAAGCGATCGAGGAAAAGTCCGATCTCTTAACGTTTGCATCATGTAACTTTTGATTTTTTTCCTTCTCTGAAATACAAATGGAGAAAATAAAACAAAAGAGAAGGAAGAACATCATCAGGTTCTTGCTAACAAGTCAAACTAAAGCGGTACAAATTGGAGTACAATGAGACATGGGTGTCAGTTGCTTTTCTACACCAACTCTCCACGAGGTGGTTTCGGTGGCGGATACTTTTTAATATATTTTTCGTTTCATACAGCATGATTTGAGCCGTTGATCCCTATTTATTCAAAACGATAGTCAATAGTAAGTACCTGTAACAGTTTTTACTGGTTAAGTAAGGCGCTCCAAATTCAAAGTTATAGCACTATTTTATTTTTGGCTTAACCATACATTGTTCGGTAGAGAGTTTCACGCTGATCAAGAATATCTGGTTTTTAGCCTTCCTAGTGCATATTATCAGTGAAAAACATTCAAAAAACTTGAAGGATCGCTTTTTTCGAAAAACCACTAACCTTTTCTAAAAACTGAATAACTTGGTTCCACCTCATTTCGAAGGCGCGAAACTATGTTTTTCTTATTCAGCGTTGAAAACTGCATTTAGAAAACTGTATTTCAAGGTTCCACATCAAAAAATATTTTTTGAGCGCGGAACGGGATCGATATATCTTCGGTTTCGAGACCCTCATTTTGCAAATAGCAGCTCCTTGGTTGACACATAAAGCCAAGTTTCATACGCCAGTTTTGGTTCACCTTGAAGCGTGGAAAGAGAGGGTATTAATCCCTTTTTTTGAAATTCGGCAGTCGTAGCTTCTTAGCGGTATTTTTTGTTGTTTTTGTAGGGGGCGTTGGCCGAATATCGGTTAGCCAAAATGTGCGTTTATGTTGATATAAAGGGCGATTCGACCGAAAAACGTTCATTTTAGATTATTGTTCATGCTAGTGTTTTAGATAATCATAAATGTCATCTAAGCGATCTGGCGGGTCAATTTTTGACAATTTTGTCAAAAAAGCGAAAAATGACACGTTTTCAATAAGACGTTTCAATCCTCAAGTGGTTTTATAAATTTGATAAATTAAGTTAACTGTATTTAACTATTCCCGTGAGAGCAGTAGCAGTTGAATTGTTTTGAGCATTGAATCGTTTTAAAAAAATCTACTTCGATCTAAAATGAACCAAACAAGATTGAATCGTTGCTTGATAACACATGTTTACAAGGAAAAACCTGATCTCATTGATCTGAGTAAAATTTGAATACATCCACTTCTTCGAACATAAAAAGACAGGCAGTTTTCGGATCGATAAATTAGTGCTTAATAAACTAGTATTTTTAGTTGGAACTTCTATGTTTCTAAGCATGTTTAGGCATTTGCTTAGTAATAAGATAGAAGAGTAGAATTCCGCAGTATTCTGCATGGTATGACAACAGAGACCAAGTAGCCTAGCATACTATCTGAATTTCTTTATACATTATATAGGCAAAACCCGAAAAAAATTCGTTTTGGATAAGGGACTACCTTATGCTGGACCTTACCCCATTTAAAAACGTTCCGCCGCCTCTGGTACAACTTGAAACAGTTGATAATGAACTAAGAAGAAGAACTAAGATTAATTGAATAGTTAACTAATTAATGGTTATCTTTTTAGGTTTTTTGTATCATACATTGAAACCTGTGATCTTTTAAATTCTCGTTAGGATTATTTGGTAAAAAAATATGTGAAATACATACGCACAGAGATAAAGAGACTTTTAATATTTTAAAAAATGTAGAACTGAATGTTTTGATACCAAAGAAAACTTCGTTCTGACTTTTTCTTATTCTGAACTTCCTTTCACCTTTTGCATCTAACATCTCTGGTAAACATGTTGGAAATTTAGTTGAGATTGAAAGGCGCATATTCATCAACAAAATGAGAAATATAAGTACTTCCTGTTCCAGTGTGCATATCTGCATGCATTTATCTTTTCACAAAGACAAAAAACATTCTCAGATTCTAATTCTCATGATTCATAATTAGAAAAAGAATTTATGAACTGCACAGAGAAAGACACGTTTTTGAATCGCAATAATGAAATAGCATCGTTCATCAAGTTTACATGTATCATCGATCTACGCTAAAATAAACATAGTCAACGAAGAGAAAATTTCCCAGCCCGTTTTCTATCTAGATCTGAGTTTATTTTTACATTAAAAACGTTGAGAGATACGATTTGACCTGCGGTGTCCTGGTGTCAAGTACCAATGTTCAGATTAATTGGACACAAAATAGAATTGTAAGCTAAAATCAATAGTTTCATAACTTTAGAGCTAAGAGCTCTATTAGTAATGCATAGGTCAGCATATTTTGATTTTGATTTATCACTGAATAATCAGTCAATCATTTATCAATGTCACTTGAAGTAATAATTTGAGGACGCGTGTGATATGAACAAGAATCCATAATTCTGTCGTAGCATCAGATATAAGTGTTGACAATGAATGACATCACTGTTAGAACTGAGATTTCAATGATGTGATGATATTTAATCCTTGATAGGCTCATCTGTCGTTGATGATTAAAAATGACCTAGATTGATTTATATTAGTTCCGTTGAATGTGTGAGATGCATAAGGTAATTCATTGTGCCAAAATGACATATGAGAGTAACAATATGACTAACTTTGTCACTAAAGTTTAACGTTTCTTGTCGCAGTGGAAAGATAAATGCATGCAGGTGTTCACACTGGAACGAGAAGTTCTCGTACGAATATCTCTCTTTTTGATTTTGTTGCTGAATAAAAAAATGAATATGCGCCTTTCAATCTCAACTAAATTTTCAACATGTCTACATATTTTCTTACAATGAAGCAACTCGGATTTTTGACTAATCGTAGCAATTTAATTATCAGCATTTTTCAGGGCTGTCCGTCCCGAAATAGTTAGGCTTGGGGAGGCGACGTTTTCTTGAGAAGAAACCACCGAAATCGTACAGAACGCAAGAGAAGTTTTCAGGATTGGGAAAACCCTCCTTCTCCACAGCCATCGCTGCCCTGGACACTCCTAACAGTTTTATACTCGGCTATTGCTTACCTCCGTCTATAACTAACAATTGATTATTTCTCGTAACTTAAACTTGTGTGAGTAACATAAGTACACAGCAGTAACATAGACCGTAGTTATTAAATTAAGATATAGAAGAATCTACGTTTGCATGAGAGTTTTATTTACTATTCTTTTTCAACTTTATCAAAGAAAAGTAAAATCTTTACTTTGTTCATTCTTTCGTGGGACTGTCTTTCTATCTATTTTTTTGTCTCAGCTTTTAAAGAGCACAGATCTATCGGGTTTACAATTTCATATTATTCCAGTCAAAAACCTCCCTATGACGTATTAAATCGAATTAAAACTACATTCTAACGGTTTTTTCTCAAGTTTACAAGGAGTAGTCAAGCTAAGGAGCTCAATATATCTACTCAATATCTCAAGCACAATACCTTGATCCGTCTATTATACTTGAAACATCTTTTTAATCATCTGTTTCTTTCTTTTTATGAATGATATTCGTAAATTACAAAAGATCACGCACAAATAACAAAACTGTTTACAACAACACATAATCAAAACTTATCACAAATACAAAACAATAATTAATATTATTCGTGAACTAAACTTACACAGGGTTAAAAAAATCGAGTATTATAGAAAAGCATACACCGGAAAAAAACTAATAACTGGACACAATGACCGGTTTTTTTTATTGTACATGCACGCACAAAAATAAAGTTAGTTTTGTACAAATATTTTTTTATTAGTAGAAGTAGTGAATTTACACTTAAAGAAACAACAGAAAACGATGAATAATTCACCAGGAAATTATTTGACTAATTCTGGATCTTCTTTCCATTTATTTAATTCAGCTTGAATGTCAGTTGTCATCTTACCTTGATCCAGTTGTTGACAAACTGTACGGAGCTAAATAGAAAAATAAAAAAAATTATTATTGTTTAGCTTATTTAGTTAATGTCACACTTCAGAAACAATGATCAATCTACTTGTCTTTATTATAGATAATTATATTCTCTCGTTAATATCTGATTAAATGATCTACCTGTTGAAGTTCACATTGCAATAAATAGATGGCCTTTTCACGATCTGATACTAACTCTTCCAAATATTCGTAACGTAATTTTTTTCGATGACGACATTCCCTTGCACTCTGACGACTTTTTTCTAATTTTGTATTCGAATCTGTTTTAAGAGCTTTTCGACCGCGTTTTCCCATGAAAATCTAAAACGAAAAATGACAATTGTACATCATTATGTACTAAATAGATCAACATAGAAAACTTGAAAAAAGCTCTCTTGATCCTTTTACAGTGATGTATATATCGAAAGTTACATATATTTAACGAATTATAGACAAACAAATCACTGTTAAAAAGAAAAAAAAAAGGAATATTTATTGCACTAACAATAAAATTTACTAAAATTTGAAAAAAAATGTTATTTTATGTTCGAAGTTGGAATCTGCCCGCTTTCGTGACATATTTTACACCTTTGAATGGTTTATATTTTTCACCATGCATATCCACACGATTCACTCTTATTCCACTTATAGCTGTCTGATTCAATGTAAAATGTATGTTTAGTATTGGGTTTGATTCTGGTATTGGTTGTCCACTTTGTAAAACAATGTTTCCTTTCAATGTTGGCAGACCGTTTGATGGATTTGAACTTTCAATTTTTCCTACATCCCATAAGAGTAGTTTTTTAACTGGATCAAATGTGTATTTTCCTTGTGACGGTGTTAATGTACAATTGAGCACACTTTTCGACATTACACTTTCAATAATAACGGATTCTAACTAAAAAAACAATAAATTATTCGTTGTTTATTAATCTATGTATGTATATCACACCGTTTTTCCCATTGTCTGTTTTGGACCAACAGTTAGTTCAAATCTTCCACCACTACCATCACGAAATTGAACATTGTGTTTTACATAGATTGGAATAGATATTACACTTGAATAAAGAACATATTGCGAATATCGACATAAAATTGAGAAGAATATTCATACTTTTGTGATCCGATATGATAAGAAATCAAGCGAAAATTTCCATGTGGTGGTACAAATGAGAGCACACGATCGCTCTAAAAATACACAAAACACTTTTATGTAGTTTAATAGAATAAACTTAGACAAGCTACATGCCTCCCATTTTTTAAATCTGATGCATGGGTGAAAACTAACATCATCTAATAAACGTGGATTAACAAATGATAATGTCAAATCAGGCATGCCAGATAATTTCACACAACAATCAATCTAGGAGCAACACACATCATGATTTCTATTTATATTAAATGTTAAGATGTTCATGATGACAGTAAAAACGTAATTACATAGGGAAGCGCACGCAATTGCCTATTTATTAATATTTTCTCCAAATCAAAAAAATTGAGCTTTAAATAGCGAAAAAAAATTAATACTTATATCTAGATTCTCGTACGTATTTTTCTTTTTTTATAAATCTCATACAAATTTAGCAGCAGTTACTCTCGCATTCTCTAACGCACCTCTAATTTGAGCGATAATAATGTATCCTCTTTGATCGAGTATGGCATCCATTAAACCTGTTACGTCGTAAAACGTGATGCGTAGTTGAGGTTTCTCCATGTTATATCAGTTTTCATTGTTGCTTACAATATTTTTGCACTTTCTCGTACTATATAAATACTACAAAAAACGTTTTATCTTAAAAACATCAAGTAATTGGAGTTTAATGATTTTTATAGGATAAAAACGTCGTTATAGAAGTTTTTTAACTATTGACTTGAAGACACTACGAAAGTTGATTGTCCTAGACGGGTTTATTCATTAATATCGTACATCAACTTACATAGCCTTGAATTTCACACATCACTGTTGTCCCATTTTTATCTATAATCGCGTCTATTTCTTCTATTAAATCAAAATAAGCTTCATTACTAGTATATTTTAAACCTGTACGACGCCATGGTATAGTTGATAATTGGCTAGATGGTAATGTTGTGCTAATACTGTAAAATCATATACATTCTCTTGTTACTATTAAAGCCCGATATTTTCTGAAAATGACAACAGTGAACTTACTTTGTATTATTTCCAGTGACCAAATCAGTCACTTTACGAAAAATATTTGGTGGTTTGATAAGTTCTTTTAGAATATTTGATTCTGTCGCTAATGGATAACCGCTATCAAGCAATTCGTCCAATAACTTATCACAAAGAGATGGTAAACATTATTTTTAGGAAAGCAATAGCTAAAAGATTCATACCTCGTAAACAATAACATAATTGTCTTTTAGTGTTGTTTCGGTACATTCACCAAAATAATCTTCAAAAGTATCCATAATATGATGTAAAAACTCAATAACATATAGTGGTGAAACTAGATAATTAAATAATTGAATATCGATTTGTTGATGTCTGTATATGAAAAACACTCTCACCTTCTGTAGTTAGAACAGCAACAAAATACAGACTATTTCGATAAATATTAATTAAATAATGATGCGGTGTTGCAATCACAGGTGGAACATTTTCAGAATTTACACATTTTGTTTGACTTTCAAAAAAATAATCACAAATTGACTTGTTGACTACACTCTTCCAATGTTTTTCCATAAACAGATCGCTTATAAAGTATAAACATTTTAATAATATCAAAAGTGAAGAAGCAACTCAACTTACCCACTAGCATTGATAATAAATAAACTATGAATCATTTTTGATTACTTAATGCTTAAATCTTAAGTGCAATAAAATAAGCACGTATAATACTAATGTACAGTGTGAAAAAGTTCACTAGAAGTACGCGCAAGCTTGCCACTAAAATTAAACAACATATTAGCTAACTAAAGTTCTTTTTCACTTAAGTATTTTTTTTAATTAATCAATATTAAATACGAAAATTTGTTAAAATTTCAATGTGTTTAAAAAGGAACCTTAGTTCGAAATATCATATTCTATGACTTGCATGAAAGAAGTACATTCATGAATAAACGTAATTGTAATCGCTTCAATATCAATTTATCTGAACACACCGACGAGTTCTTGTAACTAAATATTCAGATAAAGAATACTAAAGAAATTAACTTTTAGTAGTTAATACTGATAGTGGAAATCAAAACTGAATCGTTTTGTGCCAAACATCTTTTTCATCTGTTATGCTATTTGTAAACATATTTGAGCAGTCTTCATATTTTCTACAACTATCAAGATTTTAACACATACAAGAAAAGAAAACGCCATTATCATCAACAACAACAAGAAAAAAGATCTATACATATATAGAAACAGTGCAGTACAAATATATCAAGTAAAAAATAAACATTAGATTCTTTGAATGAGAAAAAGAACAGAAAAAAAGCAATACAGTGTGACTCAAAAACACGTTTTCGTTTTACATTCGATAATGAATGAAAAGTAAACTAAATATACATCGGTTGATCACAACATTCTATCAATCAGAGTGTGAAAAAAAAAGTGATTTAACAATAACAATTAGTTGTTATCTGACATATCAAACTAAAGTTATGTATATTTTCCTCTTTAATTTAGTCAGTAACCATTGTAGAACGTGAATCCGTATTGATCAATGTATCCATTGAATCCGTCTCTAAATCAACAACGGGACCAAATACTAAATCTTCTCCATCTTTTTCTTCATTTATCGATGATGGTATGACTGCTGGTGTTTCATTACCGGGCATCAGTGATTCTTCAAAATCATACAAATCAGGTAGAAAATTATCGTCATTGCCTAATATATCATCCGTTGTACTGACAGACGATGATGATTGGGTTGACCAACCATCACTGTGCTGCGAACTGACTGGCGTATTTCCAGATGATACTAAACTATCTGTTTGAGTGTCATCTAATTTCGGTCTAAAATAAGCAGAAATTGACGAATATTATCTAATTTTGCTCTATACACAATGGATGGAAAGTTGCAACTGTTTAACTCAATACCTCATCCCACAAACTTACTTTCTATCTTCGTTATTTTCATCATTGTTATCAAACATATGTAATCGACGTCTCCAAATTTTAATCATACCATCAAATGCTCTTCGACTACATTTTTTATATTTACACGGTGTTTTGGGATGATCGGTTTCACGATTTTTTCTACGATTAGAAAGTATAATGCACAAACTTGACTAAACTGTTAATCAACTCATTCATACCTTAGAATTGATTTTGCATATATTTCATACGATTTTGTTAATTTTCCTTTACTAATGTCTTTTTGTCGTCGACATAATTCTTTTGGGGAACATTCAATAATTGCTAAAATTTCTTCATTTGTTTTATCTTTGTACAAATCGAAGTTTTTCAAGTACAGCACAAAACTAAAAACTTCAACAAATTTAAAACGTTGCTTTTTTCTTCAACTATCGTTTATAACTAACCTGTATAACTTTTTTGTTTCTTCTTCTTCAAGATCAATTTTATCACACCAGTTATGTGATAATGATTTGGCTAATTGAATTTTTTCTTCTTCATAACTAAATAGAAACAGAGCTAATAAAGAACTATTCTCTACTTTACTAGCAATTAATCCCACAATACTTACCTAATTCGTGGTGATGAAATGTTTTGATTATCAGATTTTTTAGGGTTTAAACGCGATGACTGACGCAGCGGAGTACCATGTTGAGATGACGGTTTGGACGAATTCCTAAAATATAATAGAAAAATTTAACGAAAAAATTGAAAGACAAATTAAAGTACTACTAACTGTTCTTCGTTTTCGTCATTAAACTGATCACAAGCGTTATCGTCGGAATAACTAGATGGCGAAACTGAATATCCTTGATCATAATTTTTATATGATGCATTTCTATTTCGTCGATACTTATATGAATTGTTAGAATATACTGGCTTCTCTTGACAGGCCGCTCTTGGAGAACTGAATTAAAAAAAATGGATTTACGTAACGGTGTATAATAATCGTCAAAATCATGTGTACCTGTCTTGTTGGTGACAATTTCGTTTTGAACGAAAACGTCCTGGACTTGGTGAACCACCTTCACTGGATTCATAGCCACGACTCAACTTTTGTAATTGACGAGGACGACTATCAATTTGAAAATAAATTAATTATAAGATGCCCCAATTTATAAATGAAAAATCTTACTTCGGAGTATTTGAGGCTGACATAATTTTTTCAAAACGAGCTAATTAAACGAATCTAAAATAAGTAACAGAGAGTTAAACAGAATCTTACAAATTCAAGAATTTGAAAATCTCTTTACTATTCAATTCTAAAACACTATCATAGAAAGTCACGAATGAGTGCTGTATCAGGGCAATATATTTTAAACGAAGAAACCGTTTACCATATTGAAACTAATCAGTTCATCACAAATATACAAAATCATATAACCGGTAACTGAAACAAGAAAAGATACCTCTCATCAGAGACTTTTATGAAATATAACAATGTTCAAGCAACAAGAATGAAAATATCCGTGTGTATTAAGAAAATTTCAAATAAACAAACATATGCACAAAGACAAAGACATTACATTTAATTTCATTGGGTTAAATATCAAGCCAATAAGAATGAAAGCAGATTGCATTAATGTTATACAAACTATTCAGAGGACGTTAAACAATGTTCAATGACAACTTTCAATCAATCAGTATAAATCTAAATACATATATCATTAAGTCGATTGTTTTTCTTCATCTCACTCATCTCTAAAATCATTCGATATTTGAAAAATACGACAAGTAAGAGAAATTTTACTTTGCGAAAAGCGTATTCCTGATTTCTTTATTTTGATTTTCGTTTCTAAACTGAGACGGTGATAGAATCCTTTCAATTCAAATGTGTTCTCTTAACCTATTTTCAATTCCTCAAACATATTTTGTAACCAAAAATAAACAGTAAGACTTCTTCCTATCTGTATGAGAGCAGTGTGAGAAAGTTAGAGTTCAGCATTAGATAGACATGTGTAGGAAGATACGACTGGTAACAGCTATCAATTTTTATGTTATGAACGGTCAATGAAATAGATAAACATGGAAAGGCAAAAGAAATTTTTGAAGTTTTATTCTATAGCATTTGATTTTATTCAATGGACAAAGTATGAATATGAGCGAAAATAACTTGTCCATATGGTACTCTATGAAGTTCGCGAGTTTTGTACATAAATAGCGTTTGATTCACTTGACGATGGATAACTCTTGCGGCTTAAAATAAATATTTTTTTTATTTTTAAATTATGAGCCTTAAAATTGTTTCCATCGTCAATTTATACTCTAGTTTGATATTTGTCTACTTGTTAAAGTATAAAATTTCGAACTTTCTCATGTTTCTTTTGACAAATTGCCTTATTTTTTATATTACTTTTTTACTTATTTTCTTCCTAATCTTCCTAATTGATATTTATCAGTTGTTCAGTTAATTAAAGAAATTTTAAACGAAATAATAACTCCAGAGAAAAATAACTATTTAAAGTTTAATTGTATTTTGTAAAGAACTAAGTTGAATGAAATTTTCTTTCTTAAATTATGAATAAAGATTTATCTGATATAATTTAAAGCTTTTTGTTCACAGAATTTTTCTCGTTTCTTATTAATTACTAATTCTGCTTTTTGGAAAATTGTTTATGAAGTAAAAAAAAAATAACGTAATGTTATTTCTTAGAATAATATATATATATCGTGATTAATTTGGTCTGTTCTATAAAGAAACAACATCAATCATTAACAAATATACTTATCTTATATTTAATCGTATACAACTTCCTATTAGAGCACTCTGTTTTCTTCTCTATTTTTTACACACAACATACGTCAAACAAACAACAACAACAATATGGTATTCTCCTTAAATAGTCTTTATCTATATCTTTTTGACTGTTTGATTTGTCCCGTACTATGAATGTGTGTCGCCGTTGAGTTGTCATATATCTCTAGTCTCAAGAGATTATTAATAGCAAGTTATGAACTGAACCTTTTTTTTTTGTGTTAAAATAAAAGTTGACATCGCCTTGTTTATTGCCGATAGATATACAGATATAGCTATATATTATTACGTGTATGTGAATGTGTTTTGTCAATATAGACACAGATAGAATGTAGATGTGTAATATATGTATGCAAACAGTGAGTAAAATAAAGAAAAAGAGAACAAGAAGAGGAAGAAGAAAAGTTTTGTCATTAATTTGATGTCACACGTAAGCGCAATAAGCAGACTACGTTATAGGATCAGCTTAGAGTTTGTCATCGTTTTTACAAATGTATTTATGTATAATTTAATGAACTTGAGTTACATGGTCAATTTTGATCAAGAAAAAATGAACCATTTTTCGCCAGAACGTAAGAGATAAAAGTTTTAGCACTTTTTCGTTCATTTTCTTGGATTGGCGTATCGTTCGAACCGAAAAGTCACAAAAAAGTATTAGTTACCAGGTAACGTTAGTTTTACATCGATTTTCCATCCGTAACGTTAAAAATTTTCAACGATCAGTTAAAATGGTCTTCTGCTAAGAATACAATACCTGCTTAATGTATTAGTACAGAGATTTATCTTTTTTTCGCCACATCTTCTGAAGTTACGCCTCAAAGCTAGAATGTGAGTAGTAAAGAGAAATATTGTTATCTGATCATAAGTTCTCTCTATTGCTTTTTTTAAATTCACCTTTTCTCTTCTTTTACGTGATTTGTTATTTTTTTATAATATAATCATCAGTCGCCAACTAAATATTTGTGTAAACACGTCCTAACAGATATCATCACACATACACACAATGTAAGGAACATAGAGAAAAGACACATCAATAGCATAGGATATGATGTAATTTTACTACTCCTCATTATAATTAAACACTGTAAAATATGACCTGTATATCGAAGAAGAGAGTGATACTGTCAATCTTGATTCGTTGGTCATTTGTACATATATATATATATATTATGTAGGAACGACCTTTCTTGAAAAAAGAGAAAAAGAATATGTATATGTATGTACAGATTGATATAGATATTGATTGAGTGCGATATATATGTGTTTGACAAATATGTTGATAACAATATATCATAGAATGTTGTCACAGTTAGTTAGAACAAGTCTTTAGCAAATTTGTTTTCACAGTTGAAAACTACTTGTTTTTTTAAAAATTTTAAATATACAGTTAATTGTTACAATTTGAGTTTCACAATCTCTTATTTCTTTTTACATTAGACATTTAGATTTCATTTTTAATGTCATTTTTAATGTCATTTTCAGTAATACTAGTACACGACTAATATCATCATTTGGATACTATGTATTAGTAATTGTCGAAAGAAGTTGCAAACTTAACTTTGAATTACTTACAGATCTTTAGATCAAATGTGCATGCAATAAATTTCAAAAGTAGGGAAGATTTTGGGATGATGTATTTCATACATTGTTATATTGAGGTAAAGCTTTTTTTTTTCATGTTTCTTTTGAATGTCAAGTTCAAAGGTTAACATTTTTTTTTATTTTTTCTCCACCCAGTTAGTCTATCAAATTAATTAATCTCTAATGATTACAATACGTTTTTTTCTAGAACTTCATCTAAGGCTATTTTACATTCTCTGTATTTAAGGAATAATATTTATGGTACTGTCTTTCTTTGTGTATCTTTTATTAAAGCAGAACCTTGTACATTATTTTCTTTTTTACTGTATGATGTTTCTATGATATATATCTATAGACGTGAGTAAAAGAACGAAAAAAAAAATTTTTTTGAATGCCTTGAATTTTTGTTGCACTCAGAAAATAGAAGTATTCATTGTATTTGACCCGAGCATTGTATAAAAGAAAATTTCCAATTTTTTATTGTTATTGTTATGGAAAACTTTTGAATCGTATTTTGTTGAACAATCGTTTTCTCATTTGATGTCGAAAGAGCAAAAACTTAAAAATGTGTACATTTTTTTCATTATAGCTAGAATGATACTCTTTGGGTATTTTTTTTTTTCCTTTTTTCACAAAGGAGTAAAGAACACAACAAAAAGAAAGAATTATGACATTGAGCAAAATTTTTGACTTTTATTTTTCTTCTTCATTATTTTTATTTTTATTTGTTTTTTTTTATAATTGTTGGATATACAATTTATTGAATAGTATAATGATTTTGAGTGTGTATATATGTGTGCGCGTATTTATATACTTAAGCGATCGACTCTATCTTCTATAACGATTGAATTTGATATACTCTACTCTTTTTTTTTCTCTCCTTTTCTTCGCTCCTTTTCATGGCATCGAGAAAATTGCTTACCGCAATGATGTCATCGTCCTTAAACGGTGCCATTTCCGGTGTTTGTTCGTTCTGTTCTATTAAACACTTTTCGAATACATACATATACACATACACATACTGAAACCATCATTACCATTGTGTAAACAAGAATTTATTAAATGATTTATATGTGGAAGGGATCAGGTGCATATAAACAAATCGAAAAAATAGACAAAATATTAAGCTTAAGATAATCATTATTATTATTATTATTTTTTTTTTTGTTATTGTTGTTCGTAACGTTTCGATGTCGCGAGAACTAATAGTCACTAGAACATTTTTTGTTTTTGTCAAAAAACGAATGACTTACTTCTTACCTGGATGGTATGGGGTCAAGTAAGTATTTATTGTAAAAGATGAAAGTAAACTGATTTGTGATAACTGATTAAGCTTAACGTATTACATTTTTTTTCTTCTTTTTGTGACAAACTGACTTGTTAATTATTTATTAATCACTCTATATTGTTATTTTTCTACTTTAGATTTATTTGTAATTATCAGAGTCTCTGTTGATATATATTTATTTAACCGATGTTGATGTTATCGAGTTTTTAGTAGTAAATATATATAACAGAATAAAAAAAAAATTCTGAAAAAAAAACTATTTTAACGACATGACACGACATTTTTTATTATTCGGCAACGAAAACAACAATAAATGTAACAAATATAGACTAGATTCAAATGCAGCAGCGTAATGACAGTAAGTAAGTGATTTAGATTCTCTTTTATAATTTACTACTTATCTTGTGTAATAACGGTATAATTTTGTTTAGATGATATTATTGTAGTAGCAAAATTTGATTATCGTGCTCAAGAACAACGTGAATTAACAATAAAAAAACATGAACGATTATTATTATTAGATGATTCGAATCAATGGTGGAAAGTAAAACGAATCGAAACAGAAGAAAATGGGTAAGTTCTAATTCTAAAATATTATATTTTGAATCAAATATAATTTATTGATTTTCTAATGTATTAATTAAAAATACGCCAATAAATTAGATTTTGTGTTGTATTATATATGATATAAAATTGTTAATTCTATTATTCACTTAATTATCATACTCAGGATATGGTGATTCATCATTTCTTTTTGTTTATTAATGATCTAGAAAAACATTTTTGTTGAAAGTAACCGCCTATATAAAAATAGGAAATGAAACGATTAAAGTGATAATTGATTAATAAAACATTAATTTACAACTTCTAGATGGAAAGGAAATTATGATTATGCATTTATCTATGACTTATAATCTAAAATGAGGTGAGTTCCAAATTCATTCCTTCTATCGATTTTTTGTTTTATCATCTAATATTGGTTTGCAAATGTTGTTTAATATTGCGACTGTATCGAATCCAGTTGTTTTCATTAACAAACTAAAAAAAATCGTTTTATTCTTGCTGTGAGCCTAATTGAATCATACACACATACATACACACACACACACACACACACACACACACACACACACACATACGCACGCAAGACTAGTCAATATTATTTCTAGTAACTAACTCATCACATTCCATACTCTAGATGAAGAAAACAGAAAAGCGAACATATGTGTAGAAATAATAATTATAATAATAATATAAAGTGGTTGACACTTTTTGCAGCTTAAGAACTTTATAAAAATGACATCCGTTCGTCATCGAAATGATTAATGATGGTTGTTTAATATCGGAAATATTTTTAATCAAGCACGAACAAGGAAGCCCAGCGAGAAGCAGACATACATATGTTTTAATAACATTTTTTTTTTCCTTTTTTCTAAGACTAGGTAAAGACCAGTCATGAACAGAAAAAGAGAACGATTAGTTTTGACCTCTTGAGATATAGTTAAAAAGTTCGTAGTTAACGCATCTGTTAGTTCAGTTCATTAAATCCCGCTGAGAATCTATTTAATAAAATTTAACATGCAATGGGGGAAGGGATAGGCTTAAAAAAAAATCGATATAGCAAAATACACGCTAACATGATCAAATTATCAATGGAGAACCTTGATCATGAAAAAAAAAGTTTCTATCAGCATCATATTTCTCTGTGTTTGATAAAAAATAATACTTTGTCCATAAGGAATATGAGTTTATATATATATTTGTGTATATATATATATATATATATGATGGACTATTATGCTAATTTGATTTTGTCGTTGTTCGTTTTTTTCTTCTTTCTGTCCATTGTAATAGACAACAGAAATTCTATTACGAACAGAAGTTTTTTGTTAAAACATGAATAATTGATACGAACTCTTCATATAGATAAAAAGAATTTCGCTGTATAAGAGATAATACATTATTTGACGATAGTTAGTTAAATATACTTTGACAGATGATGTCGGATAATAATAATAATAATAATAACAAAAACAAATAACAACAACAACAATAATAAGAATAAACTTAAAAATCAGCACCATCACACATTTATCCCTATTTAAATTATAGTGTTAATATGATCAAAATCATTTAGAGAAGAATGAAAAAATTAGTTTAAGAGAAAACTCAATGGTTAAGAATTATTTTAAAAAACTAAAGAATATGGTATTATATAACTGAAAAAATCATTTTATACAGAAATTCTGTGATAAATGCATTGACAGTATCTATTATTTTTAAATCTGTCCTTTGACATATGACAAGTTGATACCATCGATAAAATTTATGATAGAATAAAGAAATTTTGTTTATTATTTTAGTTATATCCCGTCCAATTATGCTCGTCGTGAAAAGCGTTCATTATTAGATAAAATTATCTCAAAACGATCAAAAAAACCGTTTGTACATGGAAATATTCATCAATCACCAAATGCCAGCGTTCTTTTGTCTGATCGTATATTATCTGTTGCTCAAGTAAAATTTAATTATGACGCCGAAAGGTAAGAGAATTTTAGCTGTTATTATTGATAATATTCCTGTTTGTTTTTGTTTCTAGTGAGGATGAAATTAGTCTGTCCAAAGGTGTATGGGTAAATGTTTTACAAAAAAAAACTGATGGTTGGTGGTTTGTTCAATATGATCAACAACGGGGATGGTATCCATCAACGTATCTAACAGAAACTTCTACAGATAGTTGTAATGGTTTATCTTTGTTGAATCAAATTCAACAATCATCAAATTTGACAAATATTAATTCACCATCATCGTCATCAAACGGTTTATCTAGTTCAAGCAGTGCCAATTCGAATATGGCAATAATCGACGAACATACGACTAATCATCATCATTTTAGCAATGATCATCGACATAATTCACATCCGAACAATAATACGAATAATAATAGTAATGCGATAGCGAACGATTATACTTTCGTTATTAAACCGTCTAAAATAAATCATTCTTACGCACATTCCGACGGCACACTTGATTCATGTTGTTTATGTAATCAAGGAAATGAACAATCAACAACACTAGTCACAACTATAACATCGACAAAAAAAAATGGACAACAAAAAAATAGTTCATGGTGTGCCCTGTTACATCATACAAATAGTGAATCAACAACAAATAATCCGTTAATAAGTGCAAATTCTCTAGGTAGTGATCAAGGTAGTTCGGCCGTCTCATCACTAACAAATGGAAGTGATCCAATGCACTCGTTAGATGGTGTATTACAATCATTAACATTAAAGCCAAATCAGAATCATCGTCAACATAACAACAATAATAGTGAGTCTATACATACCGAAGAGTTATGGTACTATGGAATGATTGGACGAGAAGATGCAGAAAAATTATTGAAAACACATGGAAGTGATGGTGATTTTTTGATACGTGACAGTGAAAGAAGGGTAAGCATTGCAGGATGATAACCTAATAGCTCTAATTGTACAATAAGCTGTGAAACAACAAGTCTTTCTAGCAGAACCTTGTTGCTTAACGGAAGATTTGTAGTCTGTTTGATTTGACTGTTGACTTATCCGAATCTGTATCGATAATTTTTGCTGTACTAATGATTTTTTTATATTCTTTTTTACTTTAGGCTGGCAATTATTCATTAAGCTTAAAAGCTGACGATCGTATAAGACATTTTCGTATTGAAAATTTAGACAATCGTTTTGTTATTGGTAAACGTTCATTTTTAACATTACAAGAATTAATTGAACATTATAAATCTCATCCAATTTACGATGGTGAAGGAATTAAATTATATTTGTGTAAACCATTAAATGTTGCTGTTGATTGATGAAATAAAAATCATTTGTTTGTTTGTGTTTTCGTGCACGCGCCCACTTGAGTGAGGAGTCTAGTTGTTGATAATACATTCCCATTTAAAAAATGCTAGTGTTTGAACTATATGGTGCTTAAATTTGCTCAAGTGATAAGAAATATTGACATCGTCAAGAAATATAGAAATGTGCAAGCATGTGTCTTCTTTCTTCCTCATTCTTCTCCAAGTTATATTATACAACTTCCAAATGTGTAGGTTAGATTTTTTTATCATCCGCTTCAGCATAACTCTATCTTATTGTACAGAAAAAAAAATAAACGCTCAAAAATTTTGTTTTTTCTGTGTTTGTGTTCTTTTTTTATTTATTCTTTTGTTTTTACAAAAAAATGAAATTTTTCTATATATTTGTAACGTTGTTCTCGAATAATATGAAAACTAAAAATATTGCAAAAGATAAAATAAATAAAAGAGTAATTCGATAGTTTATATCTTAAAAGAATAATTTCCTATCGAAATTTTCAGATAAAAGACCAAAACTTTTCAAGAGGGCCCTGTTCTCAGTGCTTCCATCGATTTTTTATAAGTCATATCACTAGTTGACGATCAACTCGGTCTGAAAAGCTGAATCAGCTATGTAGTTTTATCAGGGATAAGTCACAATCGGAATTAATTCCGATCATACCGAAAATTACTTTCCACAAAGGTTATTTTCTTCTATTTTGCTTTTCACTGATTCAGACTGAATATCCTTATCCGTGCTGTCAAGGCTGACTCAAGTGACCACATAACATAACATTCCCATATTCAGAGTCCGCTCCATACTCTAATTTTTCTATTTTTCTTACACACTTTTTAGATCATGAAAATGACACAAAAAAGCGTATTAAAAAACACCACACTGATTGCTAGAATGCGGTTTTCTACTTCGCACCGCATTAATAAGCCCATAGTTGATCTGCACGAATATGTTTTGCCTTCTCGCATTGTCAGTTAAATCTTGCATGTTTGTCACATAAGAAAAAGCACTGAACACTAAAGGTCTATTATAAACAAGTGATAAGTCCATTGGAGACGGTTTTAGAAGAAAAAATCCGTATACGGGGAACAGATTTTCGCATAGAACAAATCTCGAAATGTGGTTGTGTTTCCTCACAGGCATCTCTTCCTACACTACTAACAGAGCAGAATGAACAATGTAAACTGTAAAACAGATACAAGGTAACGTTAACATAATTCATTGCAGCTCATCAACTGAAAACCAGAACGATCGTTTCGGAGCTTTCATTTACGGACGATCATTTGTGTTCTGGCGCTCCATGAGCGATGTTATACTAATGCTGCACTTATATTTCTGTTGTTGAATCATATCATTCGTGACTGTTAGAAGCAGTCTGAAGTTAAAACAATTATTCTGATATATTCTTTGACTTTTTAATGTTTTTTATAAAACATCAAAGTATCTTTAAGAGTACGCCTGCCTAGAACTGTAAAAGTTTCCGTTACTTCTTCGGCCGTTATCGACAACGGTAACTAGAAAAACAGTTGCCGTTACAGTAACGATAACTGTCTTACCAGTTACCGTTAACTGGAGTACCCTAGTGAAACTTCTTGTACCCATTTATGACAGTCGTAGCCATTGGATATACGACCATATAGAGTCGTAGATTCTTCCTCAAACAACTATGGTCAAGGAAAAAATTCGAAGTTATTCTAATTGTGAAAATATTCGCACTTATATTTACACAAGAGTGTAAAACAAAACGATGATTCAAAAATTTCCAAGATCTTGGTACAAGAATTCAAGAAATTACAAGATGTTCAAGATCCTGACTTCTTGAAATTTCTTTAATTCTTATATTTTCTTACCAAGATCTTGAATTAAGATCTTACCGAAAAAATTCAAGAAGTCAAGATCTTGGTTACAAGAAGTTTCACTAGGGTAAGTCTGTTTTTTCAAACGGAAACACGGAAAAATTAAAAAATTCATAACTCTGTCAATAAAAGTAGTTAAGAGCTCAATATTTTTCTATGGCTCTTCTATATGTCTGTGATACTCACAAAAAGTTTCAGCTGTACAGCTCATTCCATTCCGAGTTATTGAATTTTTAAGTTTTATATAGATTCGTCCTTTGATAGGCTCACAATAAAATGGCTTCGGAAATCGTTAGTTTTCCACTAAAACTGTTGAAGCTTTCGTAAATGACATAGTCACACACGTGCCAATCAACTAAACTAATCGAAATTATATAGCTTCAATGTTTTGTAACTGCGGTTTTTAAGGAAGTCTCTGAAGATCTCAGCATCTACAGCCAGCTTGAGAAATCTTTTTTGTTTTCATAAACGAAATTAGACTACAAAACCATGTCATCTGTGAAAGTTTCAACAGCTTTAGTGGAAAACTAACGATTTTGGAAGCAATTTTAAATCACTCCATGGATATTTCTGGCATACTTGAAAAATAGTTACCGTAAAGTTAACGAACTGATAGTTGACGTTATTTCAACGGTAACTGGAAACGCCTACCCCTGCCCTCTTTTAGGGCTTTACGTAGAAATGCTGTGAAATAAAAACTAAAGGTCACTAAGATTTCATATTTTCAGAACTGACTGGAAACTCAACAGAGCATTTTTTTCGTTGTTGTTTCAAGTTTTTAACTATTACCACACATGAGTTTTCCAGAAACGGTTTTTCATTGTGTCATATTATGACCACCCGTAAATTTCATCCGATCCAGTTAAAAATCTTACCAGAGATACTCAAGACACTATCGCAAAGATATCTTTTCGGAATTTTTCTTAAGACCTTTCCTTGTCGAGTTATAGAAAGAATACTGAAAAATGTCTCAAAACATAAGTTTTTCAATTTTAGAAACCCTGTAAATCGGTAAAGAAGGGTCCAAAATAAAATTCAAAAAAACATACCTCTGCAATAGTACCTTGAACACCTATGGTAAAATGTTTAACTCGATCAGATGAAGTTTAAGGGAGATCGTAATTTGACACAATGAAGCCCTGTAGCAAAAAAATAGTTTTCGAGAAAAACGCAATTTGTACACAAGTCACTATAGCTCCAATTAATTCAAGATTCAGTTTGTATGCCCGTTATTCGAAATCACCACAACATTCTAATGAACTCTCAGTTTTCGCCAACGATGCTTTTACTTTTGATTCTTTATGTAAACCAGAAACATGACCGCACCAACTTAATGGATTTAATTTCAAAGTTGAACCCCCGAACCGAACACTAACATGTTATTCTATTCTTGCTCATGAAGTGCCTGTTGACTGGGATGTAACATTTATTAAAGAATTAACTCAGGAGAGATATGCTACAGCGTTGCAAGTGACAAGAGTTTTCATATCAACACGTATCCCAACCCAGAGAATTATAGTAGACTTTTAGCAAAATGATGATGTAAAAATTCTTCAAATTGGTAAAATCTATTTTGGAGCTATAGGATGTACAGCAACAGCATATAAAGCACCAATTCATCTCCAACGCTGCTATAAGTGCCCAGCATTCGGCCACATAATATCTACATGTATAAATAACGCAAAATACTATAAATGCGCCATGAATTATCCGTACGACAAAAACTGTTCAAACGAAATTAAATGTGCAAATTGCGGTAAAAAACATTTAGCCGGTTCGCCAGAATGCCAACATAAAGTGAATTACCGAAAATCTGTTTTGGAACAAAAACAGTAACAGTCGCAAAGAACTCGTCCGAATCCTTGGTTTTCGTCACCTGCAAAGCTTCTGTCTAGTTCAATGCAAACAGCGGCCACTATCAATCAGAACAGTAACATGTAGAAAATACTATCATCAACAACAGCGACAAATACTGCTTCAAATAATCAATCGAAGCCAACAACACCTACATCACCACAACTGCCATCTGAAACTATGCATTCGTTGATAAATTCCATGGAGAAGATGATCACGGCTTCTCAAGATATTCTCTTTAAAAAAATGACGCAAATGGAACTGAAATACGATAATCAACAAACAGCTATCCAGAATCAACTACAATTTAACATCATCCCGCAAATGAATACACTTACCAATCTGTTCACATCAGTATGCGAGAAATTGAGATGTGTGATCGATGTGGATGAAGAAAATTATTCCTTGAGGCAATACGCTCAGTTACATCAGATACATCACCAGCACCAACAACAGCAACACACTGAAAATCCTGAAAGTTTCTCAACATTCACATCGCCAACAATTTCTGTACCAGTATCACAAACTGCAATCAGTTATCCATTTCAACAAAAACAAAATTCTTTTAATAAAACGTGTTTTAATAACAGAAACTCAACAACTTCGTTCAATGATTCAAGGTTCAACACTGAGACACTATTACCAGCAACAGGACAACGGAAACAAACCGATCATATGATATCCACATCACAATACCAGGAACTATTATCAAGACAAACTGATGAGCATTCAAATGGAATTGAAAATCTTAGCTCATTAATATGAATCCAGAAGCCGACGAATTTGTACCATGCTATGAAAGAAGCATAAGAGCATTAGACGAGGACGAAGCAATCGTATCGTATGTAAGTTCCTGGCACCAACAAGAGATGTGTGTAAATATATTGAATGAATGGTCAACAGCAACATCATTAACAGCATTGATTCGGGATTGGTCTTCACTTAATCAAACATAAACTCTGTTTAATTCAAAAACTCATTTTTCATTTATGCTTTACAATGTCAGCAGTCTTCTATTTCATTTAGAAGATGTGATCCACTATGTTACACGTCATTATCCTACTGTATTTGCATTAAATGGACTTCATTTCAATGATGATACAAATTATCGATTTGCGTCGTATTTAGAATCCCGGTACGCTATTGGTTATCAGAGGGGATCGAATTAGTTTGGCGGTGTAGCTTTGGCTATATTAAAAGAGGTACCACATAAATTAGTTAATCAGTTTCTTAATGTGAAAAATCTGATCGCATCCGATATGTATGTTCAAAATAAAAGATACACCTTT